GCAAACTTGTCCTGTTCCTGATCTTAGTGGAAATGATTTCATTTTTTTCACCACTGAGAACGATGTTGGCTGTGGGTTTGTCATATATGGCCTTTATTATGTTGAGGTAGGTTCCCTCTGTGCCTACTCTGGAGAGTTTTTATCATAAATGGGTGTTGAATTTTGTCAAAAGCTTTTTCTGCATCGATTGAAATTATCATATAGTTTTTATCCTTCAATTTGTTAATATGGAGTATCATGTTGATTGATTTGTGTATATTGAACAATCCTTGCATCCCTGGGATAAATCCCACTTGATCATGGTGTATGATCCTGTTAATTTGCTGTTGGATTCTCTTTGGTAGTATTTTGTTGAGTATTTTTGCATCTATGTTCATCAGTGATATTGGCCTTTAGTTTTCTTTTTTTGTGACATCTTTGTCTGGTTTTGGTATCAGGGTGATGGTGGCCTCATAGAACAAGTTTGGGAGTGTTCCTCTGCTACATTTTGGAAGAATTTGGGAATGATAGGTGTTAGCTCTTCTCTAAATGTTTGGTAGAATTCGCCTGTGAATCCATCTGGTCCTGGGCTTTTGTTTGTTGGAAGATTTTTAATCACAGTTTCAAATTCAGTGCTTGTGATTGGTCTGTTCATATTTTCTGTTTCTTCCTGGTTCAGTCTCGGAAGATTGTGCTTTTCTAAGAATTTGTTTCTTCCAGGTTGTCCATTTTACTGGCATATAGTTGCTTGTAGTAATCTCTCATGGTCCTTTGTATTTCTGCAGTGTCAGTTGTTATTTCTCCTTTTACATTTCTAATTCTGTTGATTTGAGTCTTCTACCTTTTTTTCCTGATGAGTTTGGCTAATTGTTTATCAATTTTATCTTCTCAAAGAATCAGGTTTTAGTTTTTTGATCTTTGCTATCGTTTTCTTCATTTCTTTTTCATTTATTTCTGATCTGATCTTTATTTCTTTCCTTCTGTTTTTTTTTTTTTTTTTTTTGCGGTACACAGGCCTCTCACCACTGTGGCCTCTCCCGTTGCGGAGCACAGGCTCCGGACGCACAGGCTCAGTGGCATGTGGGATCTTCCCGGACCGGGGCACGAACCCGTGTCCCCTGCATCGGCAGGCGGACTCTCAACCACTGCGCTGCCAGGGAAGCCCTTCTGCTAACTTTTTGTTGTTGTTTTTGTTGTTCTTCTTTCTCTAATTGCTTTAGCTGTAAATTTAGGTTGCTTACTTGAGATTTTTCTTGTTTACTGAGGTAGGATTGTATTGCTATAAACTTCCCTCTTAGAACTGCTTTTGCTGCATTCCATCGATTTTGGGTCATTGTGTTTTCATTGTCATCTTTTTCTAGGTATTTTTTTATTTCCTCTTTGGTTTCTTTAGTGTGATCTCTTGGTTATTTAGTAGTGTACTGTTTAGCCTCCATGTGTTTGTATATTTTACAGGTTTTTTTCCTGTAATGGATATCTAGTCTCAGAGCGTTTTGGTCGGAGAAGATACTTGATACGATTTCAATTTTCTTAAATTTATTGAGGCTTGATTTGTGACACGAGATATGATCTATTTTGGAGAATGTTCCATGAGCACTTGAGAAGAAAGTGTATTCTGTTGTTTTTGGATGGAAATGTCCTATAATATCCATTAAGTCCATCTTGTCTAATGTGTCATTTAAAGCTTGTGTTTCCTTATTTATTTTCATTTTGGATGATCTGTCCATTGGTGAAAGTGGGGTGTTAAAGTCCCTTACTCTAACTGTGTTACTGTCGATTTCCCCTTTAATGGCTGTTAGCATTTGTCTTATGTATTGAGGTGCTCCTATGTTGGGTGCATAAATATTTACAGTTGTTATATTTTGATCATTATGTAGTATCCTTCTTTGTCTCTTGTAATAGTCTTTATTTTAAAGTCTATTATTTCTAATATGAGAATTGCTACTCCAGCTTTCTTTTGATTTCCATTTGCATGGAATATCTTTTTCTATCCCCTCACTTTCAGTCCGTATGTGTCCCTAGGTCTGAAGTGGGTCTCTTGTAGACAGCATATATACAGGTCTTGTTTCTGTATCCATTCAGCCAGTCTATGTCTTTTGGTTGGAGCATTTAATCCATTTACATTTAAGGTAATTATCAGTATGTATGTTCCTATTGCCACTTTCTTAATTGTTTTGGGTTTGTTATTGTAGGTCTTTTCCTTCTCTTGTGCTTCCTGCCTAGAGAAGTTCCTTTAGCATTTGTTGTAAAGCTGGTTTGGTGGTGCTGAATTCTCGTAACTTTTGCTTGTCTGTAAAGGTTTTAATTTCTCCATTGAATCTGAATTAGATCCTTGCTGGGTAGAGTAATATTGGTTGCAAGTGTTTTCCTTTCATCTCTTTAAATATGTCCTGCTGCTCCCTTCTGGCTTGCAGAGTGTTTGCTGGAAGATCGGCTGTTAACCTTGTGGGGATTCCCTTGTATGTTATTTATTGCTTTTTCCTGCTGCTTTTTATCTTTTTTCTTTGTATTTAATTTTTGATAGTTTGATGAATATGTGTCTTGGTGTGTTTCTCTTTGGGTTCATCCTGTATGGGACTCTCTGTGCTTCCTGGACTTGATTGACTATTTTCTTTCCATATTAGGGAAGTTTTCAATTATAATCTCTTCAAATATTTTCTCAGACACTTTCTTTTCTTCTTCTTCTTCTGGGACCCCCATAATTTGAATGTTGGTGCGTTTAATGTTGTCCCAGAGGTCTCTGAGACTGTCTTCAATTCTTTTCATTCTTTTTTCTTTATTCAGTTCTGTGGTAGTCATTTCCACTATTTTATCTTCCAGGTCACTTATCCGTTCTTCTATTGATTCCTTCTAGAGAATTTTTAATTTCATTTATTGTGTTGTACATCATTGGTTTTTTTTGCTCTTTAGTTCTTCTGGGTCCTTGTTAAACGTTTCTTATATTTTCTCCACTCTATTTCCAAGATTTTGGATCATATTTACTATCATTACTCTGAATTCTTTTTCAGGTAGACTGCCTATTTCTTCTTCATTTGTTTGGTCTGGTGTGATTTTACCTTGCTCCTTCATCTGCTGCATATTTCTTTCTTCTCATTTTGTTTAACTTACTGTTTGGGGTCTCCTTTTCGCAGGCTGCTGGTTCATAGTTCCCTTGTTTTTGCTGTCTGCCCCCAGTGGATGTGGTTGGTTCAGTGGCTTGTGTAGGCTTCCTGGTGGAGGGGACTGGTGCCTGTGTTCTGGTGGGTGGGGCTGGATCTTGTCTTTCTGGTGGGCAGGGCAGGTCTGTGAACTTAGTATGATTTTAGGCAGCCTCTCTGATAATGGGTGGGGTTGTGTTCCTGTCTTTCTAATTGTTTGGCATGGGGTATCCAGCACTGGAGCTCGCTGGCCATTGGGTGGAGCTGGGTCTTACCGCTGAGATGGAGATCTCTGGGAGAGCTCTCAACGATTGATATTACGTGGGGCTGGGAGGTCTCTGGTGGTCCACCATGTCCTGAACTTGGCTCTCCCACCTCAGAGGCTCAGGCCTGACACCAGTCTGGAGCACTAAGACCCTGTCAGCCACATGGCCAGGTACGTGGGGATTTTCTTGCCTTTTGGGAAGTCTGAGGTCTTCTGCCAGCGTTCAGTAGGTGTTCTGTAGGAGTTGTTTCACATGTAGATGTATTTTTGATGTATTTGTGGGGAGGAAGGTGATCTCCATGTCTTACTCCTCTGCCATCTTGTAGGTTCCCTGACAATTGTGTATTTAAAGGAATTGGTCTGTTTATTCTAGGTAATCACATTTGCGGCCACAGAGTTGTTCAGAATCTTCCTTTATTATCCTTTTAATGTCTTTGGGATCTGTAGTGATGTCTCCTCTTTCAGTTCTGATATTAGTATTTGTTTCCCTTCCTTTTTTCCTCAGTTAGCCTGGCTAGAGATTTATCAATTTTATTGCTTCCTTCAAAGAACCAGGTTTTGGTTTCACTCATTTTATCTATTGATATCCTGTTTTCAATTTAATTTCTGCTGTAGTTCTTACTATGTCTTTTCTTCTGCTGACTTTGGATATAATTTGCCCTTCTCTTTCTGGTTTCCTAAAGTGGACATTTAATTATTAATTTTGTATCTTTTCTAATATATACATTTAATGTTATAAATTTCCTTCTAAACACTGCTTTTGCTGCATCCCACAAATTTTGGTAAGTTGTGTTTTCATTTAGTTCAAAATATTTAAAAAATTTCTCTTTGAGATTTCTTCTTTGATTGACCCTTGTGTTTTTTAGAAGTATTGCTTAATCTCCATGTATTTTAGAATTTTCCAGTTATCTTCTTGTTACTTATTTCTAGTTTAATTGTACTGTGGTCTGAGAGCAGATATTGCATAATTTCTATTCTTTTAAAGGTGTGTTTTATGTCCCAGATGTGGTCTATCTTGGTGAATGTTTAATGTGAGCTTGAGAAGACTTTGTATTCTGTTGTTGGATAAAGCAGTCTGTCTATAGATGTCCATTTTATCCAGTTGATTGATGACGTTGTTTAGTCCAATTATATCCTGATTTTTGGCTTGGATCTGTCCACTTCTGATCAGGGTTGTTGAAATCTCCAAGTCTGACAGTGAATTTATGTATTTCTATTAGTTGTTTTTGCTTCACATAGTTTGATGCTGTTTTGAGGCACATACACATTAAATTTGTTATATCTTCTTTTATATCTTCATAAAGTTGTTGTATCTTCCCTTTGTCGTTATCTAGTGCCGTTATTACTGATAATGTTCCTTGCTTTGAAATCTGCTCTTCTTGAAAGTTATATAGCTGCTCTTGCTTTCTTTCGATTAGCATTAGTGTGGTGTATTTCTCCCTATCCATTTATTTTTTTTTTTTTAAAGATTTTTCAGTGTGGACCAGGACCATTTTTAAAATCTTTATTGAATTTGTTACAATATTGCTTTTATGTTTTGTTTTTTTGGCCCCAAGGCATATGGGATCTTAGCTCCATGACCAGGGATCAAACCTGCACCCCCTGCATTGGAAGGCAAAGTCTTAACCGCTGGACCACTGGGAAGTCCCTCCATCCATTTGCATTTAATCTATATGTCTTTATATTTAAAATGGGTTTCCTGTAGATAACATATTGTTTGTTTGGTCATGTTTTTAGATCCACTCTAATGATCTCTATTTTTAAATAGGTACATTTAAATAACATTCTGATTAAATAACATTACTGATACATTTCTATTACTATCTATCATATGCATTACTGTTTCTATTTGTTGCTCTTGTTCTATTTTTGTCTTTCTTTTTCTGGCTTTTGTAGTTTTAATAGCATTTTCTATGATTCCATTTCTCTCCTTTCTTAGCATATTAGTTATACTTTATTTCCCACCTTGTTTTTAGTGGGTGCCCTAGAATTCGTATATACAATTATAGCTAATCCAATTCTGTCAAATAACACATCACAGGTAGTGTACCTTATAGTAATAAAATAATCCTAAATCCTTCTTCCCGTTCTTTGTATCACTGCTGTTATTCATTTCACTTATATATAAGCATATACATTAGCATACATATTCATAACACAAATACCTAAGCATACATAATCGAATACATTGTTGGCATTTGGAAGAAACTGTTATCTGTTTGTTAGATCAACTAAAAATAAAAGCTTTTATTTTACCTTCAGTTATTCCTTCTTCATTGCTCTTCCTTATTTCATACAGATCTGCGTTTTTGACCTATATTACATTCATTCTCTTTAAAGAACTTTTTTAACATTTCTTGTATGGTGAGTGTACTGGCAACAAATTCCATCAGTTTTTGTTTGAGAAAGTGTTTATTTCTTTAGTTTTGAAAGAACAGTTTTGCAGAGTACAGATATCTATGTTGGTGATATTTTTTTCTCAAAAATTTAAATAGTTCACTCCATTTTTTTCTTGCTCACATGGCTTCTGAGAAGTTAGATGTGATACTTATCTTTGTTCCTCTGTAGATAAAATGTTTCTTACCTCTGGCTTCCTTCAGATTAGCTTGGTGATCTCTGAGTTTCCTGGATCTGTGGTTTGGTGTCTGACATTAACTTGGGGGAAATCTGTTGTTGTTTGAAATATTTCATCTTTTCCTTTATTTCTTTTATTGATATTACCATTGTACCTATGTTATACCGTTTGTAATTGTACCAAAGTACTTGCATAATATATTGGGTTTTGTTGTTTTTTTTCCAGTCTTTGTATTTGCCTGCCTTTCCAATATGGGGCAGCAGTTTGCCGTCTGTCCTCCAGTCTGTTATGAATTCAAGAAGTTTTAAAATACCTGTTCAACTTCTTACTTGCTGCTAGGATGGAGTGGTGACTTCCAGCTCTTTAAATGCAGAACCAGAAACAAAGTCTTGATGTGCACTTGGAACATTCACCAAGATATCTCAAATGCTGGGTTTTAATATATTCCCGAGGTCTGAAATCATTCAGGGTATGTTTTCTGACTATAACAGAATTATAAATAATTAAAAATAGTGTATCCCCCCAAATACTTGGAAATTAAATAGAAACTTACTTAAAATTTTTAATTAAAATCATTAAACACTTAGAAAACTTAGACTAAATAAAGCTTAATTCTTATAAAGATTAATCACTTATAAAACTAGTATGAAGGTTAAAAGACAAAAGTAGTAAAAATAACTATAATAGTTAAGTGATACACAATGTAAAAATATGAGAAGTGTGACATCAAAACCCTGAAACGTGAGAGAGAGTGAAAATATAGAGCTTTAGAATGTGTTCATACTTACTTAAGTTGTTATCAACTTCAAGGACTGTTTTGTTATATGTAAACCTCATGGTAACCACAAAGGAAAACCTATAATAGATGCACAAAAGATAGAGAAAGGAATCTAAGCATACCACAAAAGAAAATCATCAAATCACACAGGAAGAGAGCAAGAGAAGAAAGGGACAGAGAAACTATAATACAGCCAGAAAACAAGGCACAAATGGCCATGAGTGTATACCTATCAATAATTACTTTAAAAGTAAATGGACTACATTTCCCAAAGATAGACTAGGTGAATGGATAAAAAACCAACCAACCAACCCAAGACCAATCTAGCTGTCTACAGGTAACTCACTTCAGATGTAAGGACACACACTGACCGAAAGTGAAGGGACTAAAAAAGACAATCCATGTAAATAGAAACCAAATGAAAGTTGCAGTGGCTACATTTATATTAGACAAAATAGGCTTTAAAACAAAGAAAGACTGTAATAAATGACAAGGGCATTACATAATGATAAAGGGGTCAATCCAACAAAAGGATATAATATTTGTAAACATTTAGGAGCCCAACACAGAAGCACTTAAATATATAAAGCAAATATTAACAGACTTTAAGGGAGAAATAGATAGCAATACAGTAATAGTAGGGGACTTTAATACTCCACTGTCAATAAACAGATCATGCAGACGGAAAATCAATTAAGAAAACATTGGCTTTAAATGATATGCTAAACCACATGGACTTAACAGAATATAGAGAAAATTTCATCCTAAAGCAACAAAATACATTCTTCTCAACTGCACAGGAACATTCTCCAGGACAGATTTTAGGCCACAAATCAAGTCTTAATAAATTTAAGAAGATTGAAATCATATCAAGCTTCTTTTTTTGAGCACATGGTATGAAACTACAAATCAATTACAAAACAAAGAAACGAACAAAAAACTGGAAAATTCACAAATATGTAGATTAAACAACATGCTACTGGGCAACCAAAGGGTCAAAGAAGAAATCAAGAGAAATAAAAAATACCTTGAGACAAATGAAAACGGAAATACAACATACAAAAACTTATGGGAATACAATTCTTAGAGGGAAGATAAGTGCCTAGAAAGAAACAAGAAACAAGAAAAATCTCAAATAACCTAACTTTACACCTTAAGGAACTAGAAAAAGAAGAATAAACAGCCCTAATTAGTAAAAGGAAGGAAATAACAAAGATCAGACTGGAAATAGATTAAAAAGACAATAGAAAAAGATCAATAAAACTAAGACCTGGATCTTTGAAAAGTAAACAAAATTGACAAACCTTTACCTAGACCCATCAAGAAAAAGAGAGAACTCAAATAAATGAAAGAGATTTTACAAGTGATACCACAAAAATTCAAAGGATCATGAAACTATTATGAACGATTATATGCTAACAAATTGAATAGCCTAGAAGAAATGGATAAATTCCTAGAAACATACAGAAAATCTGAGTAGATCAATTACTAGTAGGGAGATTGAATCAGTAATCCAAAACCTCCCAACAAACAAAAACTCCAGGACCAGATGGCTTCACTGGTGAATTCTACCAAAATTTAAAGAATTAATAACAAACTTTCTCAGACTCTTCTAAAAAAAGAGAAAAAGAAGGAATCCTTCCAATGTCATTTTACGAGGTCAGCATTACCCTGGTTCCAAAATCAGACAGGGACACCACAAGAAGAAAAGTTACAGGACAATATCCCTGATGAACATAGATACAAAAACCCTCAACAAAATATTAGCAAACTGAATTCAAGAATACATTAAAGGGATCAGACACCATGATCAAGTAGGATTTATTCCAGGGATCCAAGGATGGTTCAACATCTGCAAATCAATAAATGTAATATACTACCTTGTCATATGATTTTTATCCTTTATTTTGTCAGTCTCAATAGATGGAGAAAAAGCTTTTGACAAAATTCAACCCTCATTTATGATAAAAATTCTCAACAAAGTGGGTATAGAGAAGATTCACATCAACATAATAAAGACCATTTGACAAGCCCACAGATAACATGCTCAATGCTAAAAAGCTAAAAGCTTTTCCTTTAACATCAGGAACAAGACAAGAATGTCCCCTTTTGCCACTTTTATTCAACATAGTATTGGAAGTCCTAAGCAGAGCAATTAATTAGGCAAGAAAGAGAAATAAAAGGCGTCCAAATCAGAAATAAGTAAAACTATTTACAGATGACATGATATTATATATAGAAAACCCTAAAAACTCCACCAAAAACTATTAAAACTAATAAATTCGGTAAAGTTGCAGGATACAAAATCAATACACAGAAATCTGTGGTGTTTCTATACACAAATAATCAACTGTCAAAAAGGAAAATTAAGAAAACAATCCCATGTACAATTGCATCAAAAAGAATAAAATACTGGGGAATAAATTTAACCAAGGTAGCAAAAGACCTGTACACTGAAAACTATATGACACTGAAGAAACTGAAGAAGACATAAATAAATGGAAAACTAGTCCATGCTCATGGCTTAGAAGATTATTGCTAAAATGTCCATACTCTCCAAAGCAAATTACAGATCCAGTGCAATCCTCATCAAAATTCCAATGGCATTTTTCACAGAAATAGAACAAACAATCCTAACATTTGTATAGAACCACAGGAGACCATGAACAGCCAAAGCCACCTTGAGAAAAAAGAACAAAGCTGGAGGTATCATGCTTCCTGACTTCCAAATATATCACAGAACTCTAATAGAACAGTATGGTATTGGCATAAAAACATATATAGATCAATGGAACAGAATAGAGAAACCAGAAAGAAACCCATACACGTATGGTCAATTAATTTACAACAAAGGGGCCAAAAACCTACAATAGGGAAAGGAGTCTCTTAATAAATGGTGTTGGGAAAACTGGACCACTATCTTCCACCATACACACACACACACACACACGCTCAAAATGGGGGGCTTCCCTGGTGGAGCAGTGGTTGAGGGTCCGCCTGCTGATGCAGGGGATGTGGGTTTGTGCCCCGGTCCGGGAAGATCCCACATGCCGTGGAGTGGCTGGGCCCGTGAGCCATGGCCGCTGAGCCTGCACATCTGGAGCCTGTGCTCCACAACGGGAGAGGCCACAACAGTGAGAGGCCCTCGTATCGCACACACACACAAAAAAGCTCAAAATGGGTTAAAGATTTAAATGTAAGACCTGAAACCATAAAAGTCCTAGAAAAAAATAGGTGGTAAACTCCTTGACATCAGTGTTGGCATTGATTTTTTGGATTCAATATCAAAAGTAAAGGCAACAAAGTCAAAAATAAAAAAGTGGGACTATATCAAACTAAAAAACTTCTGCACAGCAAAGGAAGCCATCAACAAAATGAAAAGGTAACCTACTGAATGGGAGAAAATACTTGCAAATCATATATCTGACAAAAGGGTTAATATCCAAAATGTACAAGGAACTCATACAATTCAATAGCAAGAAAATAAACTATCCAATTAAGAAATGGGCAGAGGATCTGAATAGACATTTTCCCAAAGAAGCCATACAAATGGTACATGAAAAGGTGCTCAACATCACTCATCAGGGAAATGCAAATCAAAACCACAATGTCACATCGCACCTGTTAGAAAGGCTACTATCAAAAAAAGAAATAAGTATTGGTGAGGATGTGGAGAAAAGGAACCCTTCTACACTGTTGGCAGGAATGTAAATTAGTGTAGCTACTATGGAAAACGGTATAGAAATTCTACCTATGACCCAGTGATTCTACTTCTGGGGATTTATCCAAAAAGAAAAAACATTAACTCGAAAAGATATGTGCACACCCATGTTCACTGAAGCATTATTTATAATACCTAAGATATGGAAACAACCTAAGTGTCCAACAATGAAGAAATGGATAAAGAAAATGTACATGCATACATGAAGGAATATTCAGCCATAAAAAAGAAGGAAATCCTGCCATTTGGGACAACATGGATGGACTTTGAGGGCATTATGCTAAGTGAAATAAATCTGATAGAGAAAGACAAATACCGTATGAGCCAACTTATATGCAGAATCTAAAAAACAAAAACAAGAAAACTGAGCTCATGAATTAAAGAACAGGTTGGTGGCTGCTAGAGGTGGGGGCTTAGGGTTGGGTGAAATGGGTGAAGGGGGTCAAAGGTACAAACTTCCAGTTACAGAATAAGTAAGTCATGAGGATGTAATGTACAGTATGGTGACTACAGTTAATACTGTACTGCAAATTTGAAAGTGCTGATATTAAAAGTTCTCATCACAAGAAAAAATTTTGTAACTACGGTGAGGGATGTTAACTAGGCCTATTAACCATTTCACAATATATACAAATATCATTATGTTGTATACCTGAAAGTAATGTTATCTGTCAATTATACCTCGATTAAAAAAACAAAAGTGTGGAAAGAGAGGAGAAATTATTTCAGACATATGGAGATAAAAGTCTTATGAACTAAATTTAAATATTTAAATAAAATGGATAAACTCCTAGAAACATATAAAATATATAGGAATAACTTGAATAGATTCATAACTGTAAAAAGTATATTAGAGATAGTAGTCAAGGACCTGTCCTCTGAAAAAACCTCACTTCCAAATGTTTTTATTCTATGAAACTCTACCAAACTTTCAAAATAGCTAATTCTATTTTATGCAAGTTGTTCCAGAAACCAGAAAACAGGGGAAGTGGGAGGTCTTCCCAGCTCATTCCTTGAGATTAGTGTAATACTGACTCAAAAACCAGAAACAAAAAACTCAAACCAAGAGAATAAAAAGGAAAATTATAGGCCCATTTTGTTTATGTATGCAGATTCAAAATCCTACATAAAGCAATAGTTAAATGAATCCAACAGAGCACTAAAAATAACATATCATGAACAAGCAGGATTTCTGCCAGTAATGCAAGGATTGTTCAATATCAGAAAAATCCATCAATATACTTCTCTATATTAATAAAATAATGGAGTAAAACATTTCATGATAACTTCAGTTGAACCAGAACAATCATTTTGCAAAGTTCAACACCTATCTATAATTGTTAGTAAACTAGGAATAGAAGGAAATATTCTTAATGAGGGAAAAGCTATGTATACTCAAACCCTACAGTATATATCACACTAAATGGGTAAACCTTAGATGCATTCCCTTTAAGATAAGAAACAAGATTAGGATATCCTTATCACCACAAATGTTTAACACAGTATTGGAAATCCTGACTAACACTATTAAGAAAAAAGTGAAGGGACTGGAAGGGAAAAAAAGTATATCCCCCAAATATTTAGAAGTCAAAAAACCTCTAAATAATCCAGGGATCAAAAAAGAAATCATAAAGGAAATAAAATATTGATTTGAATAACAATGAAAGGATAAAATCTGTGGGAATCACCTAAAGCAGTACATGGAGGGAAATGTGTAGTTTTAATGTCTTTATTAAAAAGGGTTAAAAATCAATTCATCTAAGCTTCAAAAAAGCCATAAAAGAAGAGCAAATTAAAACCAAAATAGAGGGACTTCCCTGGTGGTCCAGCAGTTAAGAATCCTTGCTCCCAATACAGGGAGCATGGGTTCGATCCCTGGTTAGATCCTGCATGCTGCAACTAAAGATCCCACACGCTGCAAAAAGCCTGTGTGCTGCAACTAAGGCCCAGTGCAGCCAAATAAATAAATAAATGTTAGAAAACAAAATCAAAATAGAAAGGAATATACAGATGAGAGCATAGGGCAATAAAAATAAATGGGTAAAATTAACAAAGCCGAAAGTTGATTCTTTGAAAAAATTAATAGACTTGATTAAACCCCTAGCAAGATTGGTCAGGTAAAAAGTCTAGAAAAAAAGCTACCAATAAGCAAAAACAATACATATCCTATAGTCACTATAAGGATAATCAAAGAATATTCTGGACTTTATGTCAAAAATATTGGAAATTACATGAAACGGACAAATTCCTTAAAAGATACAACTTACCAAATTTCATAAAAGAAACAGAAAATGTGAATAATCCTGTGTCTGTTTCAGAAATTGAATTTGTGATCCACAATATTCCCCCCCCTGCAAAAAAAACACCCCCCAAACCCCTCTAACTAGGTCCAGATGACATGAATTCTTCAAAACATTAAAACAAAAAATAATAACCTCATAAACTCTTCCAAAAAAGGGGAGGAGGGAACACTTCCCAAATTGTTTTGTGAGGCCAGCATAACCCTAATACCAAAACCTGACAGAGATGGTATAAGAAAATGAAATCACAGATCTATATCCTTCATAAGCATGGATACAAAAGCCTCTAACACAATATTAGCATATCAAACAACAATATATAAATGGATAACACATCATACCCCAGTGAAATTTATTTCAGGGATATAAAGTTGGTTTAACATTTGAAAATCAACCAAAATAGTTCACCATAGTACCAAGCTAAAACATACAAAACCATATGCTCATCTTGAAAAATGGAGGAAAAACATTTTCAAAACTCAACACCTCATGGTTCTCACCATGTCTATTTAACATTGTACAGGAAGCTCTAGCCAGTACAATAATGCAATAACAAGAGACAAAAGGCATGAAAATGGAAAAAACTGAATTCTCAGATGATAACTGTTTACATCAAAATCAAAAGCATTCTACACAAAAGTTAAAAAAATAGAAAAATTGAATGAATTTAGCAAGGTTGTTAAGTTACAAAGTAAAAAGCACAAAAATTAATTGCATTTATGTATAACGGTAATGAGTAACTGGAAGATAAATTAAGAAACAATTCTATTTACCACAGCACCAAAAACCTTAAAAATTTTAAGAGTTTAACAAAGATTTGCCAGATGTCTATACTGAAGACTACAAAACCTTCTTGAGAAAAGACCTAAGATAAATGGAGAGACATATCATGTTCATGGATTAGAAGAATCAATATTAAGATGTCAGTGCTTTTAAAATTGATAAATTCAGAGCAATCCAAATCAAAATCATATCAGGATTTTTTTTAAATAAATTGATCAGCTGATTCCAAAATTTATATGGAAATGCAAAGAACCTAGGATAGACAAAACAATCTTGACAACAGAGTTGAAGGGCTTAAACTACCTTATCTCAAAGCTAGGCATAAAGCTATAGTAATTAAGACAGTGTGCTACCGGTGTAAGGATAAATGAACAGAATTGGAGAGTCCAGAAATAGACCCACATTTATACAGTTAACTTTATTTTATAAATTTTTTGGCCACACTGCGTGGCTTGTGGGATCTTAGTTCCCCAACCAGGGATCAAACCCATGCCCCCTGCAGTGGGAGCACGGAGCCCTGATCACTGGACTGCCAGGGAATTCCCCAGTCAGCTAATTTTATGAATTAATGAATTCACCAAATGAATTCAATGGAGATAGAGAACATTTTCAACAAATGGAGCTAAACCAAATAGATACTCTTATGGGGGTTGGGAGGAAGGAAGATCCTCAATCCTTGCCTCACATCTTACACATAAATTAATTTGAGATGGATCATGGACTTAAATGTAAGAGGCTGCTTTCAGAAGAAAACACAGGAAATTATCTTCATGAACTTGGGGTTGACAAGAATATTTTAGATAAGACACAAAAAAACACATAACCATAAAGGAAAAAAAATGGACTTCATCAAAATAAAACACTCCTGCTCCCCAAAGTCACCAGTAAGAAAATATACAGGCAGAGCACAGGCTGGGGGAAAATGCTAGTAATACATACATCTGACAAAGAACTTACTAACATCCTCATGAAAAGGATTCCAACCATTCTGTAATGAGACAAGCAACCTAATGAAAAAAAAAAAAATGGCCAGAGCCTTCAATACACATTTCAGAAAAAAAAGATAAATTGTCAGTAAGCATATAAAAAGGAGTTAAACATCATTTGTTATGCAAATTAAAATCATGAGATATAATAAAACAACTGGAACTCTCATTATTGTACACAAATGCACATAAAATGGCACCTACAGTCACTTGGGAAAACTTTTGGCAGTTTCTCATAAAATTAAACATAAACCTACCTTATGACCCAGAAATTCTACTCATTATTTAATAAGAGAAATGAAAACACGTCCACAAAGAATGTTCATAATAACTTTATTTGTAATCACCCCAAACTGTAAATAACTCAAATGTCCATAAACCAGAGAAAGGATAAATTGTGGGATGTTCATGAAAAGGAACACTACAGAGTAGGAAAAAACCCTCCAAACTATGGATATATGCAACAACATGTATGAACCTCACAGACATTGTAAACAAAGTCAGATGCAAAAGTGAACATGTATAATTCCATTTATATGAAATTCAAGAACAGGTGAAACTGATCTATGACAATAGATAACAGAAAAAAATGGTTGCCAAGGGCAGAAAGGGAGAGAAATACATTTCCTGGACACCTTCTGAGATGATAGAAAAGTTCTCTATCTGGACTTGGATTAGGATCACACAGATGTACACAATGTCAAAAGAAATAGAACGTAATCCTAAAATCTATGCACTTCACTGTCTACAAATTTTACTTGAATACAGACCGTTTTACCTTAAAAATTAGTATTAAAAATCTGACATCAGGGCTTCTCTCGTGGTGCAGTGGTTAAGAATCCGCCTGCCAGGGCTGGGGACACGGGTTCAATCCCTGGTCCAGGAAGATCCCACATGCCGCAGAGCAACTAAGCCCGTGCGCCACAACTACTGAGCCCGTGAGCCACAACTACTGAGTCTGCATGCCACAACTACTGAACCTGCATGCCTAGAGCCCGTGCTCCGCAATGAGAAGCCACTGCAATGAGAAGCCTGTGCACCGCAACGAAGAGTAGCCCCTGCTCGCTGCAACTGGAGAAAGCCTGCATGCAGCAATGAAGACCTAACACAGCCACACACACACAAAACAATCTGACATCAGATTTTTATCAGATCTGCCACTTCCCAAAACAGCAAAAGATCTGCCACTTCCCAAAACAGCTGTTCACACAGACATGTGAACTCACCTCAATTTACAACAGCTTTGTTCTTTGAGTCAGTTACCCTTCAAAATAAAACTTGAATTGTTTTCGAATTCACTAAATTTTCTAGTGAAATGCTGCTCATAAAATCTTACTTTCTTGCCCTAAATTTCCTATGCATTAAGAACATGATCCAGGGACTTCCCTGGTGGCGCAGTGGTTAAGAATCTGCCTGCCAACGCAGGGACACGGGTTTCAGCCCTGGTCCGGGAAGATCCCACATGCTGCAGAGCAACTAAGCCCATGAGCCACAACTACTGAGCCTGCACTCTAGAGCCTGCGAGCCACAACCCTGAGCCCGCGTGCCACAACTACTGAAGCCTGTGTGCCTAGAGCCTGTGCCCCACAACAAAGAGAAGCCACCGCAATTAGAAGCCCGCGCGCCGCAACGAAGAGTAGTCCCTGCTCACCACAACTAGAGAAAGCCTGTGCGCAGCAACGAAGACCCAACACAGCCAAAGATAAATTTATATATAAAAAAGGAACATGATTCATTATGTTGTACAATAAAAGTTAAGTCCAAACCCTCAACTCCTTTTATAATAAAAACAGATGCCGAGATAAACTGACTTGTCCAGGATCATGTTCTTGTTTATTTCTGAAATGAAACATTATATACATTGTCACCCTTTGCAAATACTAACACGCAAAAACAACAGCTTACCTTTTTAATAAACGTAGATAAAATAATTACGTGGCAACTGAAGAAGCATTAGAAACAATGACTGATCATTAGGAGGTTAAGACTATTTTAGAAATAAATGTTACATATATTTTATATATATTTTTTAAATGTTATATTTTAAAGCACATTTTTATTTTTAAAAACTTTAATTTTTTTGGCCGTGCCATGCAACATGTGGGATCTTAGTTCCCCGATCAGGGATTGAACCCTGAATTGGAAGCATGGAGTCTTAACCACTGGACCGCCAAGGAAGTCCCAGAAAGCACATATTTTCTATTAAACTAAGGCATTTCCAAATTTACACTGGCTGGTTTTTCATGAATGATACATTTTCTAGTTGAAGTGTGTTGGCCTTTACAGTTGGTGCATTTGAATCAGACAGCTTTTCAGGAACTGTACCGATAAGCTATAAAACTTGGGTAACAAAAGAACTTCTGGATTTTTGAAAACTGCAGTTAGTGAAAGGCATAATGGAATTTCTGTACTCTAATGGAGGGAAAATGTAGTAAAAATTTAGCTAAAAAAACCCCAAAAAACTTGGCAGTGCTGGTTGTGATGAGCAGAGAGAGGCTTAAAAGGCATTCAAATAATGGAAAAAGACTTTTACTTACATAGGAAATTTTTTATTTGATAAATATAATTTCATAAACTTTAAAAAATTACTGAGAGCTGTACAATAGGTATACTACATTTACTGACAATGCAGATAATTTAGATATTAGACAGCCACAGTGTCTGAGGTCCAAAATTTTAAACTGAGTGTTGTGACAGTATTTCCAACTACTAATTATTCATAAAAATCTAAGTCACCATTATTACAAACATATCATTAGTTATGATCTATTTTTTGCAGGAATATCATTCAGGTTATCTCACATAAACAGCACTTTAATAATGTTCTATTTTTATGAAAATAGATGACTCATCAGGATAGAAATAAAAATGTCTCTAAAGGGGGACCAAAATTAATAAAACACGTTTTACATAACTCTTTGGTGTGTTAGTCTTATTAATGACTGCTTGTATCATACTCCAAATTGATATTTACAGGAAAAACACAAACATGGATGATTTTCCCTTTCTCCCCAGTCCCCAATAACTTTTCAGAGCAGCAAATGTTAAAAAGTTTTGGTATTAATTATAAATTTTTTAGTGGCCGTGACTCCTGCCTATCAGACAGGAGTCTGAAGCTTACCACAGGAGCCCAATTTCACAATCTTAACGCAGTAGAAACGACCCTGGTCTGAGCAAGGTATTCCCTAACTGGATGATTTGCCTCTGTTTAACCTCCTACTCAGGACAGTGCCAGAGTTTGGATCAGGTCTGGGAAGCCTTTGGATCTCAGGGAGATTAAGACCCAAGGGGGAGGCTAGTTAAGAGAAATTCAAACTGAATTCTCCCCTCTTTTCTTCTCAACCCCACAGAAACGCTGGGTAGCTATAGTTCTCCTGGCCCACATTCTACTCCTTCTGGGGTGAGCCTAATGCTTGCTAAAGCTAAGGCAGGGTGCTGAGTCACCTAAAGCAGCTGATACGCAATTCTGGAAACTGACTTGGTGCTTGCTGCTATCTTCAGGGCTACAGGCTTCAGGCTAGGCAAAAGCAAACAAGTGAGGCAAATCGATTTGAGACCACTAACTAGCAGTAACACATGTAGCATCGTACCCTGGTTTTGGCAGATAAAAAAGTTAATTATCAACATCATACTTTCCAAAGAATTTTAAAGAAATATGCAAGGGAGAAAATTTCTTATTACTCATTATGCAGTAATAGTTTTACAATATGAATATTTAGCACTAGAAAACTACTGCAAGTTTGTAGACAAGAGTTACTTTCTTAAATAACCAGAAGAAAACCCCTTTCTTACAAGATAATCTTCCTTTAAATGGAGTAGGTTTTGAACAACAGACTAGGAGAAGCATGTCAGCGGATGCTATTAACTTTTTTCAGATATAAAATTCCTACATAACTTCAAATACTGAACGCAGAAAATTGCATCAATCACACCTTGAGCACCATATAGGCTAGCTGACCTCATGCCTTGCTGTAGTTGGTCAGAGACTGCTTGATAGCTTTGCAGTCCTTCCCTAGTGTTAGCAGTCAGTTAAACTGATGGCAAATAAACACTGTAAGGTAGATGTAATGCAGGGCTACTGAACGTCATTTTGTTATATGAACATTTTGTAAGACATTCTAAGAAAAAGCAAATTCTGTATTATTCTCCACTAATACTCTACTGAATATTTTCTGCAATATTTCCTCTTCTGGAACACGAGCTGGTAAGGGTACACACTGTACATTTTATTATCCCTTTACTGTATTTGCAGGATAACAGTATCTTCCTAAACTCAATCTAAGTTAAAGAAGGGCTACTTATGAAAATTAATATTTAGGCTGAAATTCATAACCTAATATCCTTGCATTATTGAAAGAGACAAATGTTATATTAGCAAGAAAACAGTTTACCAGTGAACAAAGGTAAAGTCTTAATTCTACCATTCTTCCCCTACCAGCCCAATTCCAGAAGTCTTATATTCATGAAATGGGAAAGGGGTGGAGGGTTGTGCAATAAACCTACAGAAAGGAATTATCATATTCTCCAGGGAAAATTTCGGCAACACCTTACTTAACCATTTCCATACAATTTTGAATGTATATGTACACAATAATATGCTTAGAGATGAGTAACAGTTCTTTAATTATCATTTCCAAGTTTTAAAACATTACTTTTTATCAAAACAAATGACAACACTGGATCTACATGATAAACTCAGGATGAAAATCAAGTACTGAACTGCAGTGAGTTAACAGCAGTAATACATACCTGATTAATTATTTTTAGCATTTAAATTTACTGCAGCCATTACCCCATATAATTTAGCATTTTAGACTTTGCTTCATTTACATTCTATAGCCACACCTTATAATGGGACACTGGGCAGATTGCACTTCACTGTAGTAGTCTGCTGTAAGTTAGATAACGTATACTAACCTAAAAATAACAGGATTCTCATCTGAAATTCTTTATTCTAAAAGCTAGCTTACTGAAAAGCAAGAGCAATTCTGAGCTAGTTACAGAAAGAGGCTCTTCTCATTTTATTGATTTAATTATCCTAATATTTTGATTTGTGTAATTAAAAGTATTTGCAATATTTAAATAGTTTTCAAACTGGTTTTTTATTGATTATAGTTGAATTTACAACAGTGTCGTAAAATACTATACACAGAGCCTTCAGATAGACAAAAAAAGCGAATTTAAATATATTAACCAGATTAAAGCATGCGAAAGATCCAATGATAAACACATTAAATAATAATATGCTAATGGTGTCTAATTTACCCACTATAGGTTCTTTACATTGTCACAAAAATAGTAAACATCAATTTGAAATTTGGTGAATGGACTTGATTCCTGATTTATAGGTAAGATATGATATACCCTTTGCATGTATATGGTTAACTTAACTGGTTGTGTTACAGTACATTTAGAGAAGTTTTGGTACTGGTATATATTTACTACCCATACTGCAGTAAATAATGGTTGGAAATGCATTCTCCTAATTTGCTCTGTGAACTTAGAAAGCACTAATGAATGAACAAACATGGGTCACTGAGGGACCAAATTCCTTACTATTCACATTAACTTTTCCCATGAAAAGTTTCAAATATAACTCTAATAAAAAAATAGAGTTTTCAAGGCAAACTTTTCAGCATAATTTATAGAGGCAGATTTAAACAGAAGACTCAATAACCAAGCCATACTAAAAAATACAATTAACTAGGAATTAGCTCCCTTTTCTACCTTGATGTTAAAATATTTAGTGGCCTTAGCAAAAGGCTGAAATGCCATTGGGAGTCCCGTAAGCACACGGGGACAACCCAGATAAAGAGATGAAAATGTCTCTTTATTCATAAATTTTAACATGTTCAGATTTAAATTAAGAGGGCGGCTGACAGGGGTGCATGGTAATGCTTTTTGTTTGTTTGCCATTATAACTCTGAGTGGGCATGAACTACTCCAGAGATTTCAGAAAGTAATTCCGCAGAGGTAGTGTGGCCATTACCAGGATGATCACACTGAATTTTAGGAAAGGAGTTGAAATGGCTCCCACAAAGTACTACTGCCCCTTTAACAAGTAGACGAGTCCATTGTGGAGAGAGTCAAGATGCTCCTGTCGTTGGTATAGAAAGGATCCGATGCACTCCATGATCTAAAGTAACAATAAGAGAAAAGTTTGGCTCACCAGGACCTATGTTTCAATTGAGAAAAAATTTTACTCTAAAACTTAGGACCAAAATGCGATTTGAGTATTAAAATAAGCACTGATTGATGCATTTTTAAATGCTAAAGATAAGTTCTTCTTACTAGCATTGAAGGACCAAACATTATATTATACAAAAACTTGGGAAAAATAATGCTCTAGTCATCATATAAAAATATTAGCCAAAATTCATTAGCATTAAAACAATTTCTATAGGTAGCAAAGCATGAGACACTCTTAAAATCTTAATTCAATAAGAAACAAGTTTGTTATTAAGAGGTATGCACATTTGGTTTTACTGAAAAGCAACTAGGCTGTATTTTGACATCACGAAAGCAAACAAACAAAAATCCCACTTACCAAAAGCTTTGGAATGAAAGAGTAGTATGTTCATATTATATTATTATTTCTTTTCAGGTATAAATTCTATTCTAAAGGTGTTAGCATTAATTAGCTTGAACAAAGTAAATGTTTTAATTCAATAGGTATCAAAGACACCTTGAACGAAGTAAATGTTTTGACTCAATAGGTATCAAAGACAGCTAAAAGTCACTAGGGTTTTCACTTAACTAAGAACAAATGATCCTCTACTGGTCTGGAAAAAGTTAACTACTGTCTGTCTGAATGATAAGGCCATAAGCAATTCATTATATAATACTTTATTTGCAGCTGTACCAATTTCAGCTAAAATAACTTAAGACTAAAAATAGCCTGCCAAAAAAAAAAAAAAAAAATAGCCTGCCATGCTTAAAATGGCCTAACCTATTTCAAGGACAGTATTAGGATTACCAAGTTAAAGGTGGCCTTTCTTAGAAGACTAAAAGCACTTAATAAATACATTTTATGTAACTTTTTCCAGGGTTCCCACTTTCCTTAAATAGAGAAGTTAGAGAAAGAGATTAGCACTTAAAATGGCCCAAATTCACTTTTATAAAAAATCTGCTGTTTCCTAGAGACTAAAGTTTGTGTAGTTCAATTATAAACCGATTAAGTGAGCACAGTCACAATGAAGATTGGAACCTAGAAACTTTACAAAGTTGGCAAAGAGGAAGACAAACAAGCAACAACAATACCAGTGGTTTACAGGTTCTCTAATTTTACTAGTTTCCAGAAAACTTAAACAGTATCTACCTTCGTTTAAGAAGGGCTTGCTCACTACGGTCTCTCTAGCACCTAGAACTGTGCTATAGTAGATACTCAGTATTTGTAAAATAAATGAATGGAGTAAGACTATGAACATTTCTTAGAGTAAGTATTTATGCAAGAAAAAGTATGCTCAGACACACATGACAAAACATAACTATAAACAATACTCCCAAACTGCCAATATTTTAGTTTTTCCTCTTTTCCAACCATTGCTTACATAGAAGAATCTTATTAGGTAAGGTTTCCTTCATTTTTGATGTTTTCAAAGCACACATGTGCATTCATATTGTTAAATATCATATTTGACAGAACATTAAACACCTGAACTACATATTAACTATTAACGCCTTTCTACTTAAAAGACAGTTTTGATTAGGATAAAGTAACTGTTGGTAAATTACATACAGAAAAGCATTTATTGCTGAAGTACAGCCCTTTAGAGTACAACATGGCATATCCTTTATATAGCACCATGATGCTATGTTTGAAACAGAGCTTGCAATATGGCATATTCCTTTGACAACATCAATTAGTAAAATATAAGTAGAATTTTTGTGCCTGGATGGTAAAACTTTATTAGTAAAGAAATCTGTCATATGAAAGCACTAATTGTATTTCTCAGGAGATGACCATTACCTCTTATGTTTAATTAATGTTAATGGAACAAATATCCAAAGGATTCTACATCTTGTAAATAGAGGTATCAGTCTTGCCCTACCTTTTCAATTAGACATGAGAGAAATGTAGAATAGACGCTATTCCAAAAGCAAAACAGAATGCCAAATATATTTCACTAAAACAATTACAAGTAAAAAACAAAAACAAATGACTTTTCAAAGTTTAAATATAATGTTAATGGATCCATGGCAATATTCATATAGCCCTTAGAAAAGCACCAAGTGGTTTTGGATATTGTATGATTTTATCCACTAAAAAAAAAAATAGAACAAATCTCAAAAGACTTTTTAGATTATTCATTTGAAGAAAACAGGGAGATAATGACAGTAGTAACTGACAGCATAACCTGAGATGCTGGACAAAATTGGAAAGGTATTTATAGTCTGTCAAATAAGATATTCATTACTGTTAAACATTTTATTAGAAAAAAAAAACTCTTAAAAAAGAAAAACGTGAGATACAATTTTAAGGGGAAAGAAGTACAGATGAGAAGAGACACCTTCAACGGAACATGCAGAAATAAATCCCATAATTCCTTGGGCAGGTTCAAAAGGGATAATGCAGCATAAAAATGGCTATGTAAAGAATAATGGGGTGCATCACCTAAATAGTTGATATCCAGAAAATGGGAATATATATAAAGCAGAAAAATATTCTGGGATCATTTAAAATTAATTCTAGTCTTTTTTTAGTAGTTAGTGAAGATGTATATTGTCATTAAAGAGAACTTCGTGTTGAAAAAGATGTTCTAAAAATTCTATACAAGTTCTACAGTAGTCTCTTAGTCTAATTCCCACCTTAGTTCTGTGCAGTAAAGCTGTCTTATATTATACATTAGGTCTTTCTGGAACTTCCTTTGGGACACTTGTTGGCCTGGGTACATGACAGAACTACTTTCTTATAATGCATTTCATAATACAGTTGTGTAAGTCATAACATACAAGTCCCAATAAATTTAGGTGCTCATAGTAATTCTTACATGTGGAATAAAATGCCTACAAAATAATATCACAGCATTATGGAAATATTTTTGATCACATTATAATCAACAAATGGGGTCTGAAACCACAGACATTATGTTATTAACATAAGAATGCTCTTTATAAATGCAACTGTACCATAAAGAAATGGCCACAACTAAAGGCAAAGTGGGAACTAACAAGTTCACCAGTAAAAGTTACCTGAATTCTATGATACAAGAATGATGTCATACTCATTATTTTTAAAACATAAAGTCAACCAAATATTAAAAATTCTTATCAACAGATAAGAGTAGTGCCTCCTCTGCCCTTTATTCCCTGCTCCTGGGGTCTTTCCAACCTTTTCCCAGGCGTGGCACATGTAGAAAGTGATACTATTCATGTGGCACGCTGTGGACAATGGAAATGACCATCCATTCTTGCCCATCCGTAACCCTTCATGAACACGAGTGCACTGCTGCTCTGACTTTGAGACTTTGATATCATTCACCTAAAGAATACCAAAGTGTGAAAAAAATTATTTCTATTCCTTAATATTCCCTAAATAATAACATGTCTCTTGGGGAAATGTATAAAGAATTGAATCAATTTCACTTTTAAATAATTTAAGTGGTATACACCAAAAAATGGTATTTTTGTTATGATCCAAAAGAGCAAATCTAATTCAAGAAACACATTTGGGAGGAGACAAAAACACTAAAATTCTTCTAAACCATAATTTAAAGAGCCTGTTCTAAGCTATAGACTTTTAATTAGACCATAAATACCGAGTAAAAACTTAAAAATCACAACTTATTTTAAAACCTCATTATACACATAAAAAGGTGTAGGAGAGCAGAATTTCAGCCTTTTATGTTTATAAATACCTCAAAGTCTCAAATGAGTGACTAGACAATATACATGAAGAATAAGAAAGGCAAAATCTTTTGACTTTACTATTATGTGTAGATTATTTTGTAAATACAAAAAGCAAACATACAAGCAAAACAAATACAGGAAATAAAACAATTTAGGTATAATCAAAAAAAGAAAGTTATAAAAATAAAATGAGTACCAGATACACACTCCTATTCACCACATTTGAGAAAGACTGTAAAGCAAGATTTTTTGTTCATTAGATGAAAAGTCTCTTCAAAGGTGCTTTCTGTTCCTTTGTTAGTGAAAGAACCCCCTACACCCTAAAGCCACAAAGTGAAATACCATCAAAGAGTGCTAATAAACAGCACACTTCCTGCTTCAGTTGGTAAAACCAGGGGCTGATTTATTAGGTATCTAGAGATGCAGGTTCATCCTGTTCCAGTTTATAGGATACTCATCTGCAGCAAAGGCTACTTAGAGAAATTTCACACCTGCTGACATGGGACGGACTACATCTTCCTATTACTCGTTCCAGCATTCTTCCAACAGATGCGCACGCTGTTTCTCCTTCTGAGAAACAGCACATGGAGTCCAAGCACTTGATACTTGAATTTGTTTCAGTAAGCTGAAGGAGTTGAAGGGGAAAAATATTAGTTATTTATAGATTTGAAATTCCAAAAAGCATTAAAAAAACTGCAACAAGCACTTTAAAACCAAAAGTAATATATATATGTTTTCTATAATATGGAAATGTATGGAAGGCTTTAATTAAGAGTAATCATACAAAAATATTTAAAAGGCACTGTGTCCTAAATTAGAGGCTGAGTAAAATCATTATATAAAACAAGTACCTGGATACGATATAAACCTGCAAAGATTTTGCATTTTAATATCTTAATATATTATGATTAAAATGATTTATTTACATCAACCACTCAGAGACTTAATGAATTCTCATTCTTCTTTGAGCTTTTGTTTAGGTGAAATGCTCCTGCAATTTCAATTAAAAATATCTAGTAACTGAGAAAAGTAGAGTTTAAATTATTTTGAAGACTGGGAAATAACCAGGCAGGACCAAATCCCAATCTTCAACAATAACAACAACAATAGTAGCAAACACCTTATGTAGTGCCAGGTTCTAAACACCATATAGATATATATATGCACATCATAAATAATTCTTGAAAAAAGCATCACCTGCCTTAACTTGCTAAGCAACTATTAAGTGCTAACCATGCCCATAATAAGTTCATCTTGCTTTTTAAAAATTAACTGATGATACATTATTAAAATAAAGAAGTAACTAAGTAGTACTATTTAGATTTAAAACTGAATTAATTTCTGTAAGCTTGCAAGGTTTATATTGATTGAGGGATAAAAAAACCTGGCAAGAAAAACTTAAAGCCACAGTACTAATAATTTCAATCCTGTTAAAATAAGGGGTAAAAAATGGTATGACCACATAGCCCAATGACTCCCAACCCTGGTTTTGACAGTCAAGGGTACACCTAAATTTCTCAAGGATTATCATTTTGAACTTATTTTTCACTCATTTTCCTTTACATATATAACATATTGCATAACAAATCTTTCAAAAGCGTAGAGGAAGGAAAACAACAAAAATAGATTCATTAGAGTGCTGCAATTCACAAAGGTTGGGAATCACCAAGTGTCGAGTGTAGGCATGGCAACAGGGGACACTTGTGGAGACACTCACAATGGACAGAGGACACAAACAAAACGAAACGTAAATAACCTGGCATTCCGAACCTAAGCAACTGGTGAGGTCCTGCAAAATCCCTGCTCAGAATAATGCTGCCAAATACCAAGCAGTGCGAGACAACTTGGTTCCTGTTAGGCAATGAACTGATTGCATCAATGTCCTAGGATCTGCTAAGCACTGAGAAATAGCCAAATTTTACTTATTCCTTCATTATAATACCCTTGGGTTTAGGACTGTTTACGATACTATTTCTTAAACTGTGTATTATGAGATATTTACAGACATTGCACGAAAAAAAGTTCTGTGGCCAATTAAGTTTGAGAAACACTAGTTCAAGGAATGTCTAAACAGACTTTATGAGTAAAGGACTGTCAGTAAGTCAGGTTGTGCGGTCAGTCTCCAGGGAGAGAGCTAGACATGGTGCAATTCTCAAATTTGTTTTTTTCAGTAAACTCCCCTTCCTCCCCTCCCCAAATGGAACATTAATCAACACCAGGAGGAACATTAATATTCAGTGGAAGATTTTAGGAAATGCCGGTTTAGGTAACAGGATTTCACCAGTTTCCCAGTTTCCTCCTTGGGTCACTGGGCTCCAGCTTCCTCCATCTCAAAGCCAACCTCTGTAGGAAGCAGGACTTTAGAGCTCCCACATGCTCAAGGATAAAGTACTACACCTCAAAGAGGCCTGTAGGGCCCTTTATAACCTGATTATCAGGCTGCCTTTGCTGCTCTACTTCTAAATGCTCCTGTACAGTCTCTACACAGCCAACCCGGCAGTGCTCCCTGCCTGTGGGTATGTGTCAGGGCCTGTCACCAACTGGGGGGCAGACTGCTGACCCCTAACACCAAGTTCAGTTTAAATACCATCATCTCTATGAAACCTCCTCCACCTCTCCAACTATCAGTACTACCTCTTTCTCTCTAGATTCTATTCCAATCCTTGTTTGAATCATTTAAACGACAGAAGCACTGAACTTCAACTTATACTTCACTGAGCAAGGCACTGTGCTGGTTCCTAAAGGGGACAGCAACCCTGCCTTCAATCTGTTGAGTAAAGGATAAAGAAAAGGGTGGGAGATAAGCCAGGAACAAGTAATAATGGCAGTTATATTAATGGAATGCTTACTATGTATGTGCCAGTTAGTATGTAAGATGCTTCTCATGGATTATCTCATTTATAACCACCTTTTTGGACAGGCACCAGACTCATACACATTTTACAGATGAGGAAACAGAGAAGTTAAAAATATGTTCATGCTCACCCAGCTGGGGCTTGAGTCTTGGTTTGATTCCAGGGCCTAAACCTCTTTACCATGCTGTTATACTGCCTTCTTATAATTATGGTATGAAGCAGAGTACATTATTGAAAAAGAGGAAGGAAAGCTCAAACCCAGCTGTTGTTGTTGGTATTACTGGGAGAGCATGAGAGATTTGATGAAAAAGATGGCATATGAAGGCTGGATGGGATTTCAATAGCTGGAGATGGGAGAGTAACAGCATTCCAGGCTATAAGCAGAGAGAATGAGTAACTGCGTGGGCAGAAAAGTATGATGTGCATTTAGTGCATGTTTAGCCTAAGTGTAGAGAGAGTAGTTGTTACTCCTGCCCCCTTGCAAAAAGACCAGTGTGACTCAAAGTGTGATCTATGTATGGATCACTGTTGGTCTGAAAACGCTGTTACTAGCTCATGAGAGACAAGTGCGTCGGGCCCGTGAGAGTAAGAGATTAGACAATTTTATGGCAATTTGACAGAATACTTTTGTAACTGTTGAATCTAATTTAAAAAATGGGGCTTATTTTATATATCTTTCAAATTTCATTTCCTAGTAATTCATTTTTATTGTATTTTACAAAAGTATTGGTCCGTGATGAACTGGAAATGAACAACAACAAAACAAACAAGAAAACAAACTGGTCATTCACAACATTTATCTGGGGAGCACTGCACTAGACCAGAAACTTGAAAGAGCAAGGGGTTTGGTTCTTCTTAGCTTAACAACATGTGCTTTACTACTGCTGGTGCTCAACTAACTGACAGGGATCCACTAAAGATAACATCCATAAGGTCAGCAGCATTTGAGTGTCCACATACATGCAGAACACTGCTTAGGTTTGGATCTGCTTTGCATTCATCACCTTTTACTTTAAAACCTAAGGACAAGTATTAAACTAAGGGCAACTCAACACAGAGAGTAAACATCTTAATATGTCAAAAATATTATACGGGCTTCCCTGGTGGCGTAGTGGTTGGGAGTCCGCCTGCCGATGCAGGGGACACGGGTTTGTGCCCCGGTCCGGGAGGATCCCACATGCTGCGGAGTGGCTAGGCCCGTGAGCCATTGCCGCTGAGCCTGCGCGTCCGGAGCCTGTGCTCTGCAGCGGGAGAGGCTGCGGCGCTGAGAGGCCCGCGTACCGCAAAAAAAAAAAAGAAATGACTTCTTCAGATCACCTTCTGAACTAAGCAAAATATATTTCCTTTTTATTCCCTAAGGAGAAAGAAAAAACCCAACTGTTTTGAAAATGCTGGTTAACTGTGTTACTGTAAAGCTATCTATAGAAAACACTATAGTGTTCTCTAGCAAACCTCCAAGCTCCATCACTTTTCCATATATACATATTTGATCTCATATCATAGCTTCCAGTATAACCGGGGGTGGAGCATTTAGATCTCATTTCATTCAAAGTAATGAGAGGGAGTCATTACCTTTTTAAGAAAGAGACTATTAATAAATACTAGAAAAGAAAACAAGTAACAGGAGTGAGACCCTACCTGGTGGCACTAAACAGTAACTTTTAACTTAACAGAAATTTTGATTTATTGGTAAGACTCACTCTCCACCACATTTACTTCCCAGAAACACCCACGTAACTTAGAGCTAAAAGGGCTGCCAAGCAAAACAACTATGGAGATCCAACATGGGTATGTATGGCTAATAAAAATTTTCATCTTTATAGAACTTCCCTTTTGAAATAAATTCTGGCTCACTGCTCTTATTTCCATTATTTTCACATCAATGATGGTAAACATTTAGAAGTTTCTCCTGTTACTTCTACAAAAATCTTCCTTAAATTTTCTAAGTGTTGGAAAACTGTCATACGTTTCTAAGTTTTTTAGTCACGCCTATGACATTTTACCCTATCAAATCAAATAAAGTTCTTTAAGTTTAGATAAAAATTATTTAACTATTGACCATATTTGTTCTTTTGCCCGTAAAACTGTTTTATATACTTCATAATCAAAGAACACCTTGCTTAGCCTTAAAGGAGATATTTGGAAAGAAGTCTTAAACTATAATTATGGAGGGAAGAAAAGGCATTTAAGGAAATGATTTTCTTTTAAATGTGAGATCAAAAGTCATCAAATATTACCAATTTCCATATTTGGCTAAGAATAATAAAACCCCTACAACAAGTTAATAGCTTCAAGTTCTTATTCAGAATTGGAAGAGGTACCTGTTTAATGATGGTATTTAAATAACTGCTTTGCTTACTCAAAGCCTCTTTCTCCAAAACATGCTGTAAGCTCACATTTACTCCTCTGGACTCCCTTCCCTTTCTTTCTCACCAAGTAAAATAAACAATTTTGAAAGCCAATTATAAGTATAAATAAAATACCTCTATACTGACTTTTAGGGATCTCCAGAATGAAGGAGATTTCCACATGTGTTGCCTTAATTTAAGTGTGAAAATAAGCATACAATATGAATTCTATTTATTAGATAAGCTTTTTTTTTTTTTTTTGCGGTACGCGGGCCTCTCCCATTGCGGAGCACAGGCTCCGGACGCGCAGGCTCAGCGGCCATGGCTCACAAGCCCAGCCGCTCCACAGCATGTGGGATCTTCCCGGACTGGGGCATGAACCCGTGACCCCTGCAACGGCAGGCGGACTCTCAACCACTGCG